GGAGGGACGGAGGGACGGAGGGACGGACGGACGGACGGACGGACGGACGGACGGACGGACGGACGGACGGATGGATGGATGGATGGATGGATGGATGGATGGATGGAGCAGCCCGGGGGAAGCAAACCAAGGCACTAGGGTGCTGAGCCGTGGACAATGGGCAGGGCCCTGGACTTTGCAGCGAAGCTTTCCCTATGTCCCTATGTGATGTTGTTCGTTGAAACCGTTGGCAAATCGCTCGATGCCTCAGCTTTCCATCCCTCGGAATGCAGATCGCTCAGCAGGAACCCCGTCAGGATTTGAAAGATGCCGCTCACGAGGAAACAATAAACCAAGTGGGAGCGCCTGCAGCGCAGGGGTGGAGGTCGCTCTTCCACCATTAGCCCTTGGGAAAGAAACAGGCGGAGCGGGGGGAGGGGGGAAACCTGTTCCTTTAGACCTGCGTAAAAGAGGAGACAGGAAGAAGTGAGAGAGTAATACGGAGAGAAGCTTGCACGAGAAGGAGTGGCACAGGGAGCGTGACAGACAGCTACGTTGTAAGGGAAGCTCACGTGCCGGGGCTTCAGGATGCGGCTTCGCGTATTTCGGAAAGAGCTTACAATCGAATAATTGGACACTGACAGCTGCGAGGGGAGGTGAGAGGAAGTGAGAGAGTGCCTGCGCATGAGCAGCTGCAAGCACCAAAGGCCAAGCATCGCAGCGGCCTCGCCGCCAACCAAGAGAACAACCGAAAGGATGCCACTGGCATCAGCCGGGCTCCCCAGTCGACACGCTTGCTTGCTGAGAAGATAGGGTGCAAAGGTCAGCGGGGATCGACTCTGTTGCAGTCGCATACAGCAGCACAATCTCACAATCTGTCTGCGTGTGCTTTCTAGGCGCCAGCCTAAGCAGCCGAGGCTTCTGCACTCGAACATGCACGCGCTGCCTGCTCCGTACACTGCAGCAGTATCCCTGTGCTCGGTTGTGCTTACGAATGATGAAAGTGGCCATTCTTGGCCCACGTACATGGCTGCTCGACATGCGCTCTGTTTGGTTCTGTCATATTTGATGTGGTTCTGCTGTTTGGTTGGGTCCGATGTAGCCATGTTGTGCGTCTCTGAGGTCTTTCATTCTTTAGTTGGGGCCTCTTCCTGGTTTTTTCTGGCTCCTGTTTGGTGGCATGTGGTGGCTGTTGCTTTCCTCGGCTTCTGCTCGTCACACGAGTTCTGTGTGTTTTGTGTCTCAGCTTGCATGTTGTGAGCTTTGCGACGTTTTCAGATTTTCCGCATCTGGGGGTACAGTACAGGGGTCTAACCGTCCACCTCGTTATGCTGACCAAATTCTAATCGGCATCCGAGGTGCAATTAATCAATAGATGAGGCACTCTTGCAAGCGAGAGAACAAGTCCCCAAATCAATGTCGGCTCTGTTGCTGTTGTGATTTGCTGTGCTGACGGTTTTCTTCTGGCAGCATGTTCGTAAATGCATCACCTCCACTCTCGATTGCCAGGACCGGGAGACCTTCTATCAAGATGCCGGCGCACTGCTTGATGCATCAGAAGCTGCGCAGCGTGGCCCAAGCGTTCTCTTGTGTCTTTGGGTGCGGCACCTGCTAAATCTTCATACCCATGACAAGTTACACTCCGCATAAATTGCAGATTTCGAGTGAGTGCATGAGGTGTCTGATGTCTTAGACTTTTGTACGGACATCATTGCCGTTTTTTGAGAAGTGGCGTGTTCAATGGAATCGTGTCGAAACATGGAAAGGAATTTGATGAGGTATTTGAAAAATCTTGGTGTAGCATAGCGAGTAGTAAAGTGCTGTAGAATGGCCAAAGGTTCGAGCGTATCAAGTATCCTTTCGCATGTCCAACAGGTCCTTGACAAGAGCCGTTGTAAGAGAAGTACAGTAGCGGAAGAAGCAGCAGTAGTTCCAGCTCCTACACTTACTTCACTAGTAGTACGGGGACTGATAGTGGTACCACTCTGCCACTCAGTACACGCCTCCTGCAGATTTCACTGCGAGCCCAAACCTGAAAACTTCTCCCACTAGGGAGAGGTTGGAACTTTGAGCATGGCGAAAGATTTGTCAAGCACAAAAAAGCCGTGCTGGACGGACAAGGCCTTGCCCGTCTACCATCTACTGTCTACTACTATCACTTACGACGACTGCCACCAAGACGACGACGGCTACTACCAACTACCGCTGATACTACTTGCTACTACGACTACTACTACTACTATTACTGCTGCTACTACTACTACGACTACTACTACTGCTACTACTACTACTACTACTACTACTACTACTACTACCACGCCTACTACTACTATCACGTTTTCTACTGCTACTACTACTACTACTACTACTACTACTACTGCTACTACTACTACTACTACTGCTACTACTACCGCTGCAGCTACTGCAACTGCTGTTGCTACTGGTACAACAACGACGACTGCCGCCATGTCTCTTTTTGTGTGTATTTCTCTTTCGCTATCTTCTTACTTGGATTCTCTGTCTCGTTCGCACCGCTCTTGTTTTCTTTCCTGCACATGTTTTCCAAGTACAGGAGATGATTTCCACTTTGGTCTTCCATATCAAGGTGTAGTTAGAGCTTTGGTGGTAATGGGAATGGGACATCCTTGCATAACTCCACCCGGACAAATTGCAACTGGTGGGGATACACGGCAGCAAATCTGGTGCAAGCCCAAGTCTTATTTGTGGAGTTTACAGGGGAGTGCATGTGAAATTCTATTAGTGTGACATGCGGAACAGCTCTTGGGGTGGGCGTTTCTGTTGCTATTACTCCCCAGACAGTGTGGCAACACTTGGGTTCTTCGTTCCGTTCAGCGGATAGTCTGGGCTGCGTGATGCTCAAAGGAACCCTAAAAACAGGCTTGATTTTAAATGGCCGGGCCGCCTGTTCATGCTAAGGTGGGGGCCTTCAAAACCATAAACCCAGTAAAGCTGGAAATATATATATATATAGGCGCCGCCTATTTCTCAACCCCCCACCCCCTTCCCCTGTCTAGGGACAAGGATACTCGGCGGGATACTCTAAAGATGGGAACCTCTCTGGGATGCTCTTGGGCACCCCAGAAGCCTCAAACCCTGACACCGACAGTGGGGAATAGAGACCCCCCCCCGCTGAGAAGCTTGCGATGGTTCATCAATGCAACGAATTTGTAAACGCAAGAACCCGGCCAGAATCGTGGAATGTCCGAGGTCGATATCTATTGAAATATGCTTGGGGTGCCACACATTCGGAGCGGATAGTCTATGATAGTCTCGGAGAGCAGACCAGCCTGTCCCATTTCAGTCTCGATACAGCGGATCTCGCGCGTTAAGGAAGCAAGTGGGTCCAACTTCGCGTTGGCCACCGCTGCCGTGCCGACATGTTTTCCTTGAGCGGCTTGCACACGGAGGGAGAAGCTGAGAGATGCAGTGGAAGTCGGAAGCGTTGCGACAGAGGCGTGCAAGTTCCGAAGCTACGCGAGGTCCAAACTGGGTTGTGCCGAAAGAACTCGGTGAAATCAGCAACGAAAAGACAGTCTCTACCGCTCATTGCCAGTATCATAATAAGAGCTTTGGGGCTGTCGCGCGTCCTAGCCACATGCTGGCTAGTTTAAACTATGGGTCACATGGCCTCTACAGAAATGCAACAGGACTGCGAGCAGAGACATGCTTGGGTTGACACCTTGGGGCAGACATGGCAATCAAATTTGCAGCCTCTGGCGCCACTCAGACACGAATGCCGGTTCCGAGCGTGGTATACACTGATGACCCGAAAAACACTGAGCAAAGCTGCGATTGCCCGAGACTTCGAGCTGTATTGCTTCGCGGGCAAGTTGTAATAAAGCCACCACCAGTGAAGACGCGCCTGCTTAGATTGGATGCTGGCAATCGTTCCCAAAACGAGTGCAAGTCTGTTCAGCGTAGGACTTGTGAAGCGATGTGGGGCGGCTGTTGCGTGCGCATGTGCCTCCTTGTTGGGATGTTGGATCGTTGCTTGCGGCTCTTCGTCCTGCTTGTGCTAGCTTTCCAACAAAGCATCTCATGAAAATGCACCGTGAAGGACAGCGTTGTGCGCACCTGCTGCATGTTCGCGGCGTTCGCCTGACATGAGCTTTTGTTCTCCGCTGCATGGTTAAGTAGAAAGATTCAGAAGCGTGGGGAACCAAGGATATCCCAAAGCGCGGATGTCCCCTCGTACAGGTGTTCAACCTAAGCTACCCAGTATAGACCCTTCATCGTAGGTTCGTCCTAGCCCGGCGGGAGGCAAAAACCGTGTTTGTACCTGGTTTGTTGTGCCAGCAACACTTGAGAAAGGCTTTGGCTCTCTGGGGACGGAAAGCAAGCTTCTCTATCCCTCCCTGGGGGCAGCTAATGTCCTCTTGTGTCCGCCTTAAAATACAACAAGCGTGCGCGACTAGGGAATCACTTGCAAGGGAATCATCACCCGCGGCTTACACCAGGTTGGTAACTGACAGTGAGCAGCTGTGCCAGGCGCAGCAGACGTCAATTGCACTTCCTCGTTTTGGACTTGTCACTTTAATATGTGTTTTCTAGACTGTGTGAGGCTGCCGCTTCTGCTTACGTCAGGTGCAAGTTGGCCGAGGCGTCAGGGCATGGCAGGGCTCGGGGCTCCACTGTTGCACGTGTGGTCCAAGCTGAGGCTGAGCCTCAATATAAACTCACAATACACAATTCTTGGCGGTTGTTGCTCAGCTGTAGCTGCAGCTGCTAGCATGCATGTTGTGATTGTACCGCATCTACTCCAGAAGGCTGTGTGCAGGCTTGTGCGAGTCCTGTTGGACAGCAGACGGATTCGTGTGTTTCCTTGTTTAACAGTTGACATCACATGTCTTTTTCGCTGTGCATCCTACAAGAACTCATTTGCATGTAGCGGCCAAATCAAGAGCCATGGAGTTGGCTTTCGCCCAGTGGGTCTGTGCCCAAGCCGATTCATACATCAATTTCTGAGCTCATAGGTCGCATGAGTCCCACAGCTGACTGAGGTCTGTGCATTTGCTCTTGTGTTGACTGTGGTCGCTATACTGCTGGTGGCCTGAAGCTCAGTTGGCAACAGTGCGATGGATCACCAAGTCTTCCTGTGCACGGGTCTTGGCTCGTGCACGCCAGCATGGGCGCTGCCGGCGCCTCACGCTTCTCCTACATTTCCATTGTTTTTTCGACGCTGTCAGCTTCCTTTTGTGGAGGCGTGAGTGTTGTTTCGTAGGTGGTTCGAGTTTTGAGCCTGTGCGGAAGCGGGACTCTGTGTATCTCTGTCTCATAATCCGCATTAAAGACGACACCGTTTCAGAACAAAAGTGAGGGTGAGAGCTGTCCTATGCCCCAAAAAACAAGCGGTGCAAGCGTCCTGGCCTGAACCCCGAAGCCGAAACGCACGCGAAACGCTCACGAGTTTTTTCAAGTGCTTAGCACGGCGAGTGGCGTGGGGCGGCGTGGCGGGAACGAGGTATTCTGCCCTTCGGCGGCTTCCTGCCCAAAACAATGGGTCCGGTCCAAATCTCTTGCAATAGTCAGAGCTTGACGAGTAAGTGTGCATGCGCATGTGTGTGCGTGTGTGTTGGGAGGTTTTCTACCGGCACCATGGGTCACTCAGCACGTTATGGATTTATGGATTGAGTGCATGTCATGTCGCACGTGGGTTCAATGCAAAAAGGCCGTCTACAACTGAACAACTCGAAACTCGAATTCTTATTCATGAAAACGAGTGAACGACAAGATAGGCACGGCAGACGTTGGATCCTTTGGAACCGGTGTCCTGGCGAATGCTAGATGTGGGAGTCGTATGGGAGACGCCACTTGCTTACCTTGTTGAATCTTTGATCGAAGGCCAGGACGTGCGACTACTGCCGTCGAAAGGCATTCCTCAAATGTAAGAACTCACCGTGGTCCAGAGATGGCTTGCGGATGCTTACGGAACGTATGGAATGTCAGCCGCAACAGAAGAGTCGGTCATTCGGGTACGACCGATGATATCAACGGATTATCATGGTTATGTGAAGAGGAACTTCGCCTTCGTCAACCCGGGGCTCGATATTGTTCAAGGTAAGCATCACCATAACATTAATATTTGGATCCAGCTATGGATCGTTTATGGCAAAACCGAATTTGTCTGTGCTTCTGTTGCCACCGCTCTTTTTTCATAAGAAGTGTTGACTCCCAAATCGGAAGATGTTAGTTTTTGTTGATGTCCACGTGTTTGGACCGTTGCGACGGCCAGAAGCCGAGACCATGCATGGGTCCTGGTCTTAGAGCATCGACTCAACAGTCGCTGCATTGTTGGCTTTTCTGGTGTGCCCCCGCCCCCACTTGGGCCAGTGTGACCGACGGCCAGAAAATGCAGGGTAGCGGAAGTTCGCCTAGACCTGGACGGCAAACTCAACCTCAATGGGACGATGACGAAGATCACGGCGGTAGGGGGGTTGGAGATGGGGATTGCGGGCAAGGGCAGGGGGGGACATCGACGAAGTGCAGTGGTAATTAGGGTGCTGTTGGTGGTCGTCGTCGTCGTCGGAATTAAACTAGTAGTGGAACAGTAGCAGCAGCAATACGCGTAGGTAGTAGTAGTAGTAGTAGTAGAAGTAGTAGTAGTAGTAGTAGTAGTAGCCGTCGTAGAAGCTGCAGTAGGAAGTAGGAAGTAGGAGTAGTAGTAGCCTGAGGGGGGGAGGTCTTCCGAAATCCGAAGGAACGGACCTTCCCGCATCTAACGGCACAGTCTAGATTTATTCGACACCACGTAGTTGCGTAACATGCGTATTGACTTGCGCTGGTGGTTGATCAACGTTATTCACATGATACAGCTGGGGATTGGACAAATGTGAGGCCGTGCATCGCGTCTGGAGCCCGTCGCATCCGCTTCCTATCTATTTGTCCCGCAGGCGCATGCCACGTGAGGGCTTGGGGCATTCTTGAGAGCGAAGCAGATGCGTTTGCGAAGAAGGCTTTTTGCTGCTCACCTTTTTGCTTGCCTCTTCATGGAGCTCCGCAAGGCCAGCAGTTCGGGCTTTTACAATGCAGCGTTGCAGAAGTGCAT